TATCTTTTTTATTTTTATAGTAATAAAATCAATATAAATCAATTATAAAATATATTTTTTATATCAATAATAAAAAAGATATGAATTTCTTTCTCATACTTCTTCTAACTACTAACTAACATTTATAGTTTTTTTTATAAACAATACATATGGATAGAAGGCTAATATAGATACTGATCTTAATAATTAATTCTTAATATTCAACAATAAGTAAAAATACTAAATCAATCAAGATAATTGCTTCAAAGACTTACTAAAACTCTATTTCTACAATTAACATTCTAATTTTCTATTTGTCTACAAATTTCTATATTATTCATCATTTATTATGATTTTAAGCATAATAATTATATTTTTTGTACTAAATATTTAAGTGAGTCATTTTGATGATTTATAAGTATGTAAAAAATAATAAAATATTATAGCCCTTGTAAATAATATATATTATATATATATATATATATATATATATATATATATATATAAAGAATTAGTTTGTGACTTGAATTGTGGTTTATATATCATATCTCAAATTTTTGGATTTACATCGTAAGGTTGCACTATTTTCAACCCTAAAATCTAATGCATTGGCCCAAATTTGATTGCATGGAATTAACATAGGATAAAGTGAGGAAGACAATATAAGGTTTTGTAGCATTGGGTACAAGATTCTGTAAGCCTTAAGCTTTGAATGTGATGTTCTTGTAAGCTATTGCACAAGACACCAAATTTTAATGGATTTTATTATATATACTTGCTATACAGGTCATGGCTTCTAAAATCCAAGGTTTGACATGAACTCGAAGATAATATATTACATTTCTTATAAAATTATAAATCTTTCAAAATTACCAATCTTACAAAATTTTAAAAATAATACATTAATATTTTTACAAAATTATTAGTTTTAAAAAATTCTAAGAATAATACATTATATTTCTTATAAAATTACCAATCTTATAGCCTTTCTTCCATAAAATCTAAAATTTAGAAATAAATAAATAAATAAATAAAATCCCTACGATTTTACTAAGGAATTAACTTATTTGGCTTAAGAAAAGACTTTGTTCTATATAGAGTCTTAAAAAGTTGGTATTTTGTTCCACCAAATTTGGACATTGAAAGAGCATAATTCAATCAAGTGTGATAAATCTTTAGAATCCAATCTTGACAAATTGCATAAAACTCCATTAACCATTCAGAAGATAAAATTATTCATACAGATTGAAAACCATATTTCAAAGAATTATTGCTACTATTTGAACCATCCTATGATGTAGACACCTAAAACAATAGAAAACTAACTTAGTCCCATGAAGAACTTATTTTCATTGAAGTTAAAAGAATATTTTTCCATAATGTAGCTACTTCAATCAAAAGCTAGCAGTTGCATTCTTATTTTGTCATAGTGTCTCATATTTCTTCATTGCTCTTATTTTCAACTAGTGGATTAAAATGTCACACAAAATCTATGTGACAAGAGAAAGTATTTAGAGATAATGTAATTTAAATTCAATAAAGAACAAAAAATAGAAGCCACAAGATGAATGAAATCAATTCTACCTATATTAAAGGACTATCATACATTAGGTAATTACCATCATAATTAAATTAAGAGAATAAAGTTAAGAATAGTATTTCACATGTGATAGCTCTTTTACAATCTTTTAAGATACTTTACAACTTTTATTTTTATTAATTGATATAATACCATTTGTAATATGATGAGATGTTGGATCAATAGGGAGAAGTAAGAAGAAAGGTGTTGATAAAATCCTCCAAACATCCTATGTAAATAATATCCTACTACACTCTCTATTCTACCCCATCCATGATACTTCTCCTATATCAAAATCATCCAAAATAAATCATTTTTTTATAGTAATTATTTTTTGTTTCTTTACATAATAAATAAATTAATTATAAAATATTAATACAAAGATTCTTACTTGGTGATACAAATATTTATATTAAACAAGGCATAATAACTATATAAAAAGAGCTAAACTTTGTTTGCTCATTTTATATTATTATATTTTTTAATTTACATATTATTTTATTTTCTATAGTTTTTAAGGTTTGAAGTGTGAGATTTTGGATGCCATGGTTCTACAATGCATTTCACAAAAATACAAAAAAAAAAAAAAAAAAAAAAAAAAAAATTGCGACAAGATTCAAAATTATTATTTTTATTGTTACTTGTGCAATACACAAAAAACACTATGTGTAGATAAACTAAATATTGATATAGAAGATATTATAACAAACTTTATTGCAATCTTTTAGTTTGAATCATATGTTAGTAAAATACCTAATATATAATTATATGTCATGGCTTTGTTCCAAAGCATTTCTCTAAAGAAAATTGTCTCTCTCAACTCAGTAGCAAAATTTTCTAATGGCTCTTGACTAATATCAATGAATTCAATTGTTAATACATTGTCCAAATTCGCCATCATATAATGCAAAATACATCAAGTAAAGATCTAATCTATAATGCATTTCATATTCTTTGTTCAATTAAGTTGAGTAAATATTTTTCTAAGCAAGGCCTATATGTCTTTTTAGATCTCAATGTAGTGTTTATTTGCAACACATGCTTTAGCCAAACAATAGATAAATTCTTTATTGATCAATTATTCTATGGCTTGAGACTTATAATTGAGAATAATCATCTAATTCATACCATAGGCCAATTCTACCAACAAGCACTACATATGATCAAAGTATTTTTTGAAATTTTTGAATATCTCTATTTTTTTAATTTCTATTGTATCTATGCAAGATCTAGATTAGCTAATAATTAGATCAATGATACGATGATCAAAGCCACAAACAATTTGTGTATTCATAGTTCTTCTTCTTGTCAAAGAATGCATCTCAATCATTCTTTGAGTGTTGACTTAAAGAGATTTATATTCCAGTAACAAATTCAATGCAATGTTCAAAGCCAAGTAAGCTGAAAGATTGACTAATTTGAAGCCTTTGGATAGTATCTAGCCACTACACATAGTATTTTTAGAGGAATAAAATAGCCTAAATTATTCAATTAGTAAAGATGTACATAGTACCATTGCCAAATTTTTAGGTCCTTTTTAATCTTTTGATATTGGTTCTATTCTTGTTTGAACAAAAATGCTCTAGGGCTAAAACCAATTACCAAGTAATATCAATATGTAGGCAATAGCTTCTAATTTAAAAATGAAGCAATCTTTGATGGATAAAATCACCATCTCAAAGTCCTATCATGATGTTCTTATTATTTCACAATATTTAGCAATAAGTTCATTCATGAAATAATTCAAAATTTGATCATGCAATTATGTATTTTTAAGGATAAGAACTTAAAGAAGATATGTAAATAAGTAAGATATGTATCAAAGAGAGATAAAAAAAATAAAAATTAAGAAGTATGTATATTAAAAAAAAATTGGAATGGAAATTGCTAAAGACTAAAAAACTATAAACTCTTGAAATTAGATTAGAAGCAAAAAAGGAGTTAACATGAGTAAAGAAGGCTTCAATCTTCCTTTGATATATACTAGGAGCTCTGTGATGATGTTCTATAGGACCTCTAATATATGTCCATCTTGCAAGAGACATGTCTTAACTTACAAGACAAGTTTCCAATGTGTACAACACATTATTAGCTTGTACTACAAGCTATCAACACATGCAACACATAGCTGATTTTTTGATTAAGTTTTCAACCTATCAATCACCTATAGACACATATAAAGATAAAACCACATCTATGAAGCTTCTAGGAAGCTTTTTTATGAGATATTATCAAATTTATCTACTTTCACTTATTTCTATTTATTCATATTATTTAGATAATTTGTTAGAATAAATATGTATATTTGTGATAGATATAGGATTTTGAGTGAACATGAAATAAGAATTGTTGATTATATTATGAACCAGCATAAGTTCTTCTGTATCATTAGATTCAAAGAAGTTGTCTTAGAATTTACTATTAATGTGCTTAGAGTATTCTTCTAATAATTCATGAAATTCCTCATCAATTGCAAAAGTGGTCAACATTTCTAAATCTCAAAGGGTTTGTTGTTTTTTTTGGAATACTAAGGCATAGTAATAGGTGGTGTGGTATTGAATCCATAAGAGAAAAGAGCTAAGATGAGTAATGTGGTTTTTGATATCTGATCTACATCTCTTTTGATATTTCAATTTCAAAATTATCCACCTTGCGAGGTAGGTAATTTGGTGAAGTATCAAATGATATTTTGAAGTATCACAAGATTCTTTGAGCTTACATCAAAAGTAAAATATCACCCAAAAAGGCCATGTTTGAAACCCCCTAATACAACTACTTGGTATAAAACAAATTTAAAAATAAAAAGTGCAAAGATTCTTTAAGATCATATAAATTAAATATAATAATAAAATACTTTGTATATAAAAAAAATTAGATACTATTAAAACAAAACATACTATTAGATAGAACTATTCTTTATTCTTTCTTCATCCCAAAGTCTAAATAAATTACTCTCTTTCTCTCAAAATTTTAATTTATGCTTAAAGAAAATATATTATACTAATCAATAACAATGAATTAAATCCATGTATGCTAAAAACTTAAAAAAGAAATAAGATATGTTTTCATGTCCAAACTATTTTTTTAAATTTTGATAATATGAGTTGAAAAAATACTTTTCAGAATTGTGGTAAAGGTTTTATTTTATTTTATTTTATTTTCAGAGTAACAGTGTAAGGTGGCCACTATTTTCTACGGTCGTATCCGGACTTACCACCTCGACCTGGATGGACTTCCAGGGTAGATATCAACACCGGTGTATACCCGCTGAAACGGCACGGGACACACGTCCATGACCATAAATGATAAGGATTTCAAAAGACCCGGATCCATCGCTCATCGATGCAGAAAGCGCGGGGTGGAAGGTCTTTGGTCTTTCTGAAGCATGATGAATGAACTGGCGCCGCCTCGAAGGATGAATGCATTCTGGCCTTCACGGGCGGACGATCGCACTGAGCTCGGGTGAACGAAGTTTTATTGGCGCCTTCGGAGCGTTGCTCGGACCCCGATCTGCTATGCCGTGTGCTCTTGTCGCGTTTCGTTTCCCTGTGTCCATCGCCATTCTGCTCTTGTAGCTCCTACATTCATTCTTGTCGTAGCCACCCGCATCTTCGATGTTTCGAAAGCTTTCGATCGACTTGTTTCTGTCATTTTCTGCACCTGTGGAGGTTCGGATCTTGCTTGGGAGCCGGATCAGACATGTTTCTTCTCACACTGCGCTGAGTTGTGTGTTTCGTTAGATCGGAGGAGGTGAATCTTGCCTTGGAGTTTGCAGAAGTAGATATTTTAAATTTTAGTAGTTTCCGAAGGTTTGCGAGGACGGGGAAGTCGTTTCGAACGACTTATCATAGATCTTTTTTCGAGTGGCGAGAAGAGTGAGTGTGAGAGGCAGATCGTATTGGTGTGTTTAGCCACTATTGGTGGCGGCGACGGTTGTCGTCGCAGCTGAGAAGCATTGCATGCGATGGCGGGGCGGTATGACAGCAATCCGTTTGACGAAGATGACGTGAATCCTTTTTCTGTAAGTAAATTGTCGCAGGTTACTGCTTATCTATTATGTGAAATCGTTTCCATGGACGTGCTTGTGTGATGATACAAGAACATAACGATGCAACTGGATACATATAGCTAGACTTGTCATGTACCCCTGCACCAAGACTGAGATATGGCAAGAATACTGCTAACCCCGGGATGTATTCGAACGACTTATAATTGCCTGAAGACCTAGGCTATTTGTGCCTCTGCAAACCTTTAGTTTTGTAATCGTCACTGAACAATGCAATGTCATATATCTCTTTAGATGACTGTGAGCCGAGTGTATCTTCAGTCATCCTGGATTGATCTCACATTTCCACCCGTTGCAGTGTCAATCATACGAGAGATCTGCTGTCTTTAAAGGAGTGTTAAGTTGAATGAAATAGTGCCAAGTTGCAATCACTTTATCGAAGAAAACCCAACCCGAAATCATCTTTCCTGGAACTCTGCCTATTTTTATACAATGAAAAAGAGGAAAAAAGAGACACAGTGCATAAGTGGACGAAAGATATCCTTGGTTAATTACGTGGCATTCTTCCGCCTCCAGAAATCGCGTTGTGGTGTTTGATTTCGTGGAATTAGAGGTGGTGAAGCTGTAGAATTTGTGCAGGATCCAGTAGTACGAAGTCAGGCGCAAAAGTCATCCTACGGTGGAGGCTTCTATGATAAGGTATGTTACCCTTGCATCAAGTTGTGCTGATTTCGTTTCTTGTACGTAAGACGAAGACTCTGCAGTAGTGTGATAGTAGAGGTACCCATCAATGTTATTTCGGTTTTCACTGAATGTTACAGTAGTTTCTTGTTCCCGATGAATTTTTTTCATTGATATTTTTAAGAGAAACGTCTCCACGATTATTGTGCCTAATAACAGGCACATTCAGCTCCTTGGTCTTGACTAAGACCTAATGTTGATGAATTGAAATGTAATAGTGCGTGATGTCGTTGTTGTACTTAAGCAATTCTTACCATGAGACTCAATAATAAACCGTTATCATTGAAGATGGGTTTGGATTCGAGAATCTTTTTTCATAAAGTTCAAATTATCTGTACTTAGAAGGGATTTTCTGATATTGTTTCTTTGATATGTAGAGCGTGCCACAAGTGAATACAATTTCACCTCTTCCACACGAACCAGTTTTTTCAGGTTCAACAGCTGCAAAAGATGCAACAGTCGATATTCCCCTTGGTGGTGCCAAAGTACGTAGTCACTGCGTGATTCTCTGACTTGTCCGCTTGATATTTTCTTAGCTTGCTTTTGTCTCTCGGACAGTTGGTTTTCTGAGTACTTTTTCCATTGTTCCATTATTGAGAATTTATTTCTCTATTCCAATTAAATGTAGGTTTTCTCTATTTTTATAGGAGTTGAAGAAGAAGGAGAACGAGCTGAAGGCCAAGGAGGAGGAACTTAGGAAGAAAGAGCAGGTACTGCATATGTAGTGGTGCCTCTGACGTGCTTGTTAGCCTTAGTGTACGTTGTCGCGTGATATTTACAAGTTAAGTTTAGGAAGTCAAACTAAGAAAAATCGAAACATGCGATTTTCGTCAGGATGCAAGACTTGCCAAAGAAATGCCTGGGTAGGTAGAGTAGTTCATTTACTTGGTTTATCTTTCTATGCATGATTTTATCTGGAGACTAAGTGCCTTTTCAAGTTGTTAACCAAAGGTTTTTCTGCAAAGTAGGAACTGAAACGCAGAGAGGAAGCCGCGGCTAAAGGTGAGTGTAGTTTTGTTCATACTCCTCTGAATCTCTAAGTGCATTGGAATTGTTGACAGTTAATCTGGAGTTAGCTGAAATCATGTCGATTGTTGCAATTATGTTTGGAGTTGGGGTCAGGAGGTAGGTTTTACCTATGTCCAAATCAAATTTAGTGTGCGTTGTCGCGTGATTCGTTGACTTTGGTTGGCATTTTTCAGCTGGCATACTTATTGAGGACAAAAACTGGCCCCCATTTATCCCCATCCTTCATCATGATATTGCCAGGGACATACCGTCACACACACAACAACTGCAGTACCAAGCTTATGGAAGTTGGTTAGGTACGGAATTTTATTTTAATGTTGCTGTATAACTTTTCTTGGTTCCGGCCTTACACTTGGTGGCTTATCAACTTTCCATATTTCAGCCAATTTTGATTAATTCAATTCTTTTTTCGAGTATACACGACACCTGTAAAGCAGTTTCTGGTAAGCCAAGCGATTTTTATCAAGTGCATATTCATCACGCTGATAGAGAATCGTGGCAATATTTCAGGAATATTACTGTGTTTATTTTGGAATTTCATCTGCACTACAGTAGCATGGATTGCAGGCCCTGGTGGTGAGTTGTTGTGACAATTGCAATTGTCTTATTTGTTTGTTTTATTTTATTCTATTTCTTTGTTTAGTGATTTTGAACTTCAAGATATGATGCCGCTTACGTTCTTGAAAGTTATTATTCTAACTATTTGTTGTGGGGGCAGATGTGCAAATATGGCTTCTGGGTGTTATCTTTGTTCTAGCTGGCTATCCTCTATCCTACTTCCTGTGGTACAGGCCACTGTATCGTGCAATGAGGTGTGCTGTGCATGACGTTGTGAACCTCTTTTGTAATTTTTGTCTAGGCTCTAAAAAACATGATTGCTAATTCTTGTCTCTACGAACCGGTTCTTGAACTGGATCTGCCCAGAATGAGTTAGTGCTTGTGAAGTAAAGTTGATATCTGATGCCGTTGTTTTTACAGATCTGATAGTGCTCTGAAGTTCGGCTGGTTCTTCATCTTCTACTGTGTAAGCAGACATAATTCTTAGGTGTGAGGGGACCAATTGCACTCTGCGATAGTTAAACACGATCATTATGTTGAATAATTCTCACTTAAATGGGCGGATAGCATTCCTTGATTTGTCCAGTTTAGTCTCTGTATAAGCGACATCAAGGGGTTCTCTTTGAGTGTCTTAAGCTTTTCGTTTGTCTTTCTTTTTACAGCTTCATATTGGCTTCGTTGTATTGGCTGCGATTGCTCCACCAATTTTCTTTAGGGGGAAATCTCTTGCGTAAGTTTGCATAATCTCACACAGCTTCAATTTCGTTTTTGTTGAAGTTGTAATTCCTTGCCCGCTGAAGTTTATTTATGGAATGTACTCTACGAGATTCCACCTGCCTTGCTTCGAAACTGCCTTGCACTCAACTATTTACGGTTTCACCTAACCATGTGAATGTGATGGTGAATGCAGGGGGCTCTGGCCTGCATTGAGCTTATTTGGAGAGAATGCCCTCGTTGCTGTGAGCTATCCTCTTCAATCTCAGTCTGTTTTACTCTCTAAATTTGATTTGATTCATTTTAATTTAATAGAATTAATTGCAAATTAGGTATTGCAGCTGTAATCTGAAACTTGATTTTGCTCACTTGCATACAGATTTTTTATGTGGTGGGCTTCGTCTTGTTTACACTTGAGGCATTACTAAGTATCTGGGTCCTTAAGGTAATCTATTCAAAATTTTACTTCCTTTTATTACCTTTGGAACTAGTGAAGATTTGATTTTCATCAAAATAATATTTATTTATCTGTTTACTGTTACTTTTAGCATTATTAAAACCTGTTTAGCTATATATTTTTTTGAATTTTATCTGCTACAGCACGACTTGAAATGTCCATTACTGCTCAGCTTTGAGTTTGTGTTGAGATACTACTGGTCACTCAATCTAATTCTTCTCACTCAATCTAGAGTACACAATTTTTTTGTCACGTGTTGACCAACCTCTATTTGTTAACTCATACTTTTGGATCTTTATTCTTTATTTTCGCAGGAAGTATATGATTATTTCCGGGGCTCTGGAAAAGCAGCGCAACTTAGGCGTGAAGCTGCTGCTGGTGCCTTTAGAGCTGCCATATGATTTTGAGGATCCCCCGAGTGATGTACAAGCTGGTAGATGTTGATCATGGTTACTCATTAAGGCAGATTGGAAGTTGTGCAGAATCCTCATACGAACTTAGGTTTCGTAGCGCAGGTCGATTTGTAGAGGTCGATAGTCTAATTCTTTGAATCTACTGGTATGATGGTGAAACCACCGAGTCTTGGTTTCCCGACGGATAACAGATCTGCTATACATGTAACGTGTGAATGGGGCGTGATTAATGTTGCTCTTAAGTATTTATTAAGTGACTCTTAAATGTCACTTCAGTTTCACTCACTCTGTGTAAGTCAGATAGCCATGCTGTTCTGATTGAGCATATCATTGAGGACAATCTTATCATTTTATTATTATTAAAATATTAGTTTTTTTCTCTCCTGATTTATGACAACTTTGTTAATTACTTGAATTCAATGCTATATTCTCTTATGTGACTATTAAAGAGAAGAACCATTATGAATTTTTCCAATTCATTCGTATGTTTCTGTTGCACATGTCAACAAACTTAGTGCTTCGATTTTTGAGTGCAACAATCCAATTCTTAGTTTTAAAATTTAAAGATTTTTTAATTGTAATCATGGACGAATTTAAACAAAATATTTTTTTCTGTGAACAATAAACCTTCTCTTAGGATCATTTTTAAACAAAGTATTTGATTACCAATAACAATTTAAGATTTATTGACGTTATATTTTCAAAAACGCAATTTATTTATAACTCAAAAGTGTGCGAAGTCATTCTTAAGAGCTTCTACCCATATGAGCAGTTGAAGATGATCCAACTTTAAAATAGTTGTAAAATAAAGATATAAATACAAATGTATATATATATATATATATATATATATATATATTTTTAAAATTATGTTTTAGTTTATAAGCTTAAAAATTTTGAACGAAAAATTAAAAAGACAAACAAACATATTGCATGTATATTTTACAAAATCCTATTTATCAAGGTTTATTGGTTTTAGAAATATTTGCATTTAGGCACAATAAGTTTAAAAAGTTAAATCCTAGCAGGCATTTCAAAGCTTAAAAAATCACATTCAAAATTGTTGATTTGACAACTACTTAAATACATCCAAATTATTATGGTTTAAGGAAGATTAATTTTAGATGACCAATTTTGAATTTTGATGATACATGCTTGTCAACAAACTGGTGTTTTAAAAAAGCATGAATAAATTTATAGTAATTCCACAATGCACAATCTAATGATATTTTGCCACTAAACTGTATTGTGCACATATGCAAAAAAACTAAAACTTGAATCCATCAATATTGTTAAGTTTTTTTTCTCTCTCTCTCTCTCTCTCTCTCTATATATATATATATATATATATATATATGCCACTGAAATAAAATTTTGAAACATTGAAACCAACTCTAACATGTATTATACTTTTATAAAATTCATTGCGAGGTGAAACAATCAAATAGACGAAACATAAAAAAAAACAAGCGGTAAACTTAACTAAGAAAAAATCAAGTTGGAAATGAAGTTGAAGCAAGCTCAGCACGAAGCAAGTTAAATTCCGAAGGATGCAGTTGAGGCCTCAAGACCTAAAGAAAAGCATTTCAGGGCCCCATGAAGAGATGCCAATTGGAGTTTACTACAATGCACAGTTGGACTCAGTGAAACCTCGCAAATTCTGCATTTTCACCACTCGATAAATGTTACATACTGTTTCTTCCTTGTGAGGGATTTCTTGCAAGACAACAACATCTGCTCTTTCAAATGGAACCTCCCCCGAATCAACTAGAGCATTTGTCTTCAAGTGATTTACTTAAAGATGATAGATGCTTCAATATTGAACACTATGTTTACTTAGTAAACTGACTTCCAACGAAATTAATATTGTCAAGCTCCAACTTGAGACAACATAGTAAACGACGACCTTGTCAAGGAGTTGTTCATTCTTTTTAGACCACGCAGCTTGATTCAATTGAACTTAAGCAAATCACAAGCGGGAGATATCTTACTGACTGCAGAAAATGTTCATTCACTGAGCTGATTGAACGTGCTTCAGCACAACATCAACCAACATGTCTACCCACGTATCAGGCAATCCTGGGAGGCACCAATGCAAGCAATCCTGGCCCCAGACAAGGTGTGTATCTTTGCCTCCAAGCCAAAGAGAAGGATGCGCATCCGCTCGAAATTCACTGATCTTGGCCACGTCCAGAAGGACAAAACCGTGATGACCATTCAATGCCGATCGTATCACATCATTCACCTCACGTTCTTCTCTATTCACTCCCCCGTTAGCAGGGTCGAACCATTCCTCCACCTGTGCCCTCATAAAATCCAGAATGCTCTCATTCTTTCAAGAAAATTCCAAATGCAATGCACACTGACCATAAACAGTTGGCAAAAAATAGCATTATTTATTGGCACTAATTTAGTCTCTCATGAGGCACAACTTCAATTCTCTCATGCATTTATCGATCCTTTCAAGTTTGAAGTGGGCGTTTTGTTAAAAGCAGGGATGGTAGGGAGAAGCTCCATCACCTGAGTGCTACTGAGAAGATCAGAGCTGCTACAGCTTCCGTTTTGGTTCCATTCTCCGCCGTGGAAGTGACGAGGAGACTGGAGGCGCCACACCTTCAACACTGTTGCAGGCACTGAGTCATCAATGAATTCCAGCATGCTCTTCAAGACTGCAGCCAAACCTTCCCGAATGCTGAGAGGTGGCCACACAGGCCGCCCCTGTTTATAGAACACTAGAGGCAAGTCCTCCGGAAATTTATCATAACCCCACCTGCCGGTTCAATCAGCTTAGTGTCCATCGTTAAAAGTTATTGATCGTCAAGTGAAAGTTTAAAGGCCAGTTAATGCAACACACTTCAAGAATATAATATAGGAATCTATCAAGTCCAGCAAGTTAACCAGTGCCCCGTGTTGAAGACGAGAACGTCGTAGAATTGCGTAACATTAGACCAATCGTCAGCTGGAATGTCTATGTCCACTCGAAACCCTGACCCAGTCCCTGCCAGATTCTGCAGTCTGCAAACTGCAGTGTTAGATCAGCTCTTCCCGTCTCATCTTAATATGCTCGTGAAACAGATCTTAATTGCATTACGCAGAAACTCACAAGGCTTGCATCGCTCAAAACTTCTTGCACAGTTGCAGCAACACTCTGCGAGAAGAAATGACTACCCACTTCGCAATTTTTGAAAGAACTACGGCACGATGATATCCCACAGTAACGTCTTGGGATGGAAAATACGCTCCTCTCCAAGCTCCTCTTCTTTTCCACTTACGAGCTTTAGCATCGACTGCACTAAGACTGCAAAGAAGGGACACCATGAAGTTTTCGTTGAGAGAATCGCCAATAAAACCTAGCCGCATACCTTGTGTGGCGCGGAGAAAGGAATGGGGTTTTATAGAAGCCCATGGACTACATTTTGAAGGCTTCCACGTCCATTGACTCATCTTCTCCGCTTCCGGCTTCTTGTTCTTGCCACAATTCCAAACACTGCGGTGAAAGGGGCAATCAGCTGAATACAATGGCCTTTTGGTGGTATCCAGTATCCAGCGACCACTACTGAAGTTGCAGCTATCGCTGTGATGGCCGTGAGCACCATCTTGTGAGGCTGGGATGGAAATCGCTTTATTGGAAATTGAAACGAGTGGAGTGGAGAGAAACAGCAGCAACAACAGACAAATGGGAAAAACCAAAAACACAATAGGATACTTCATACTTGACCTTCCCAAGTCGTTCTGAAATCGGAACTAATACCAACCATACGTCAATTTTAAAGAGACGCAAATACCCTCGGACACTTAGAAACGTGAAATGTGCGTAAAAACGTGAACGTCCAATTGACAATGCGATCCAAGATTTAGAAACAAGAGTATTCAAAGAAGCGCCGCTCTTGACGAGGGGGCACTAGACAATTCTGTTAACTAAAATGTTATACCCTAATCCTCTGAGGAACACGCCCACGTAGTCTTCCAAAAACCTGGATAGTCGAACTGACATACTGTGGCATCGTCTCGTGCAGCAACTGATTGTTCCTCCTCAAATCTTGAAGCTGCAGATTCTAGCCCAACATCATCTGTTGAGGATTCCGCAAGTTCTCGTTAAGTTGTTTCCAGACCAATTAATTTTCTATGGCCCTTCGAGGTAACAAATATAGCTTAAGGTCGACGTTAATCTTCGTTGCAATTGATCTAGTCCTCCAAAGGGTGCATATTTGTTACTCGAGAAGCTCAAAATCGCTCGGAAGGATCTCTAATCTGTCCTAAAGTTTTGCTCCCTCTCGGTGCGTCGCAAAGTAAGGATAATGCCGATCGTTAAGCCCATGAAGCCATAAAGCCATGGTGCCATCCTTGGCCTCGGTGGTCGCAATGTGAGGATAAATAACCTCATGCTTGAACTTCAAAATCTGTTCCTCGTACCCTTCCTGTGATAGCTTCTCATGTGAATTGCTAAATTTTTTGTTGTAAGCACTATAGAAGCATTCATCCAGGAATAAACCAAGCTCCGGAGCCATCGGTGTATTGACGTCATTTTTGCTGCACGCGAAGAGACAAGGCATTTGAGCAGGAATTTTCACGAAACAATTTTGAAGAAATTGATGGGTCTGCGGTAGACAAAATATAAAGTCACAAAGACTAGAAAAGAAAATACCTTTGCAGTGCAAAATCAATGATAGAGTCGGGCACACAACCCCGCATAATAGCGATGGCAGTGCCAATCATCTTCCGAATCTGATGTAACATGAAGCTCTGGCCTACCACGGTGCACGGCACAAACTGCATGCCTTGGACCTCGATGACCTTCCCCGCCGTAAACGAAATGATATATCTCTTTGCGCTTGGGTCTTCAGGTTTGATCCGTGCGGTGAAGTTGTGGTAATTACGGGTGCCGACGTATTTACCCAAGATTTCATTCAGCCGCTCCAATTTCGCATCATCAAATACAAAAGGCACCTGCTCTTCACCGTTAGAAGTTCCTTCCGCTTCAATCTCCACTACTTCCTTAACGACCGAGGTAATCTCTACGCGAACTTCCACCGATTTAACCTCCTCCGCTTCCAATGCCTTAGACTGTGGTGCTCCTGTGTGCATCAAGGAATATCTTGTTTAAACCCGAATAGAGAGCCATATGAGCTCCATAATCTAGAATCAAGAACATCACAGGGAAAAGAAAAAAAAACGAGGAGGAGAAGAAGAAGCATATACCATTTGTTGCATCCTTCACGTCGGCAGCACCAACCTCAATTCCCGCGGCTTTCTGCTCCAGTGCTTTCCTCTTTTCTATGCGCTGTAGCCTGACGTTTTCTTTTCTATCCGACCACATTTGCATAGTTTCTCGATCATGATGAGCATGAGGGTTGAAAGCGAAAACAGGTACCAGATACTCATAACGCCGCTTATCACACATCTGCTTGGCGTTGAAGTTGGATGTCACCCTCGTGTAGCCGAAGACGCGAATATCCTTGGGAAGGTGCTGGTTGACGCGCTCAACAAGCCCTGGGGGATCAATCACCAAGCGGGCGGAGACTATTTGCCCTATGGCGCTGACTCCCTTGTCAGTTCGTGCAGCTCTCATCCAATCCACCTTTCTCATGTCGCCAAAATTACACTCAGCGATTGCATCAGCGCGAAACAATGCTTGCTCGAGTTCACCTTCAATGGTGATAGCTCCTGGATTCCTCTGCATTCCCTGATACGCTGCACCGCAATATGCTAGGATCAATGCAACTTTCCTCTTTCTGCCCGTTTTCCCTCCTCCTGGAATATGCGTGCCCGTCTTCACCACTCCTGCAGTTTCTCCATCATTTGTTCCAACGTCATCACCAAACACATGTGAGGCATTTCTATATACCAAAACAAAACGCGAAATTAGACCCAATTCGATGGAGGATGCATACCTCATTCGGGCGCTATCAAAATTTGCAAACAAGCTCTTTCAATCAAGTTCCAATCCCCCCTCTAAAGCATCAAATTACCATCACTGATCTCCCGAACCACAGGCCCGCTTACCATTTTTCTCAGCACGCATCTCAATGCTATCATTTTCAGCAATTTTCTCAACTTCAACGACCCCTGGGCTTGCAACAAGCGCTGCCTCTACCGTCTTCGCTCTCTTGACTTCTACTTTCTCCACTCCCTCCCCTGCGTCATTATCCTTCTCCCCAGAAATGGCGCCGTTTTCATTCCCCTCAACCTCCATTGCAGCCGCATCATTGTCTTCTCCTCTCGGCCTCTTCTTTTCTCCCACAAGCGCCATATCTTCGTCCTTGATCGTCATTCCAGCAAAGCACACCACAAGAAGGCAGCAGCAAAGGATGCAATAAAATTGCGAACCTCACACACACTACTACGCCTACGTCTAGAATACCAAAACCCTTCACCGACAAATGCTCACTGCTGCCAATTCAGATAACCCCAAAACCCTAATCCAAAATCCGCCACGCCCCAACACCGAAATTCTTTACACCAGATCAGAGAATTCCCACGACAACACAACTACGCCTGGCTCCGGCTCGTGCGTGTGTACAAGTCGCCATGGGCACAAGGAAAATTGCGAAGACGACTGCCGAGATGCTCGAAGCGGTATTATTGCAAATATCATCGCAGGATTGTTTTTTCTCGAGGTCTGACAAATAGTTACTTTTTCTGGTGTCTTTCTTTTCTTCCGGGTCTAATACTAATATAGGTATTTTATATTCTTGAAGTAATATTCTTTTTATACTAAAATTTCTAAGGTTAAAAAGATTCATTCACAAAGAATCAATAGAATGTAGTTCTAAAGTTTGTTCTAGCCTAAAGAAGATAAAAATTGAAACTTTAATGTTTTCAAAAACTTTATTATTTAGAAATACTATGTTAAAATATATATATTAATTCAATGAAGAGTCTTTATTGAAAAAAATATTAAATATATTAATAGACTTTACATAATTTTTTTAAAAAAAGACACATATGATTTAATATAACAAATAAATGCCTTAAATATTATTATTAGAATTACAAAGAGGCTTCTTATTCTCTATTTAGCACTTCCAACTGATATTTGGAGGAGAAAGTTTTGTAAATATATCTTATTATATTGATATAATTCTATGTTCTTTTTTCTAATACCAGAGATTAAAAATTTAAGCTTAAGAAACATTGACCTGATTTGTTGATGCATTGTTGTAATGCATTTAATGCAAAGGAGTTAGTAATGATTCAAGACATATAAAAAGAACTCAAGTACAAGTTTGATTAATATTTTATTTGGCCATATTAGCTAACTAATTAAAATTAGCTACAAAAGGTATCTATGAGAGTTGATATTTTTTAAAAGAAGGCTTTTAGGTATCATATTTTTTTTATTATTATTAAAAAATAAATTTAGACTATAAAAACATTTCTTCATAAATATCTTATCCAATGCATTTTTAAACTGATTTTCACATAATACAACACTAGCATACTATTAAGAAAATATTTTAAAGATTATTTTTCCTAATATTTAGTTTTTTTTATTATATTTTAAGATAAAAAATTTAAAATTTAAAATTTAAAATTTCATATACTACTGATTTTTCTTAAGACATTTTCATAGAACTTACAAGCCGTTTAAAGTAATATGGTTAGATTGATAAGCATTAGATATTATATTATCTAAATAAAGTAAATAAATATTATTTAAATTTTATTGAAATTAATTCATTATTTATTTAAAAGATAAAATTTTAACATATTAGATCAATTGGATATCATGGCATATAATATCTATATCATTAACAAAGTATTTAAGATTATTTTAAATAAAATAGGCTTAAACTTTTGTTAGAAGTACATAGGCTTGTTTTAACCAATAATACTATTGCTTGTATGTTTTATTTGTTCTATCTATAAGAAATATTTTTCAATGTATTTGATGGTTTTGATGATTTTAAGTTAGCTATTTCTATCAAAATAAAATATGCTACATAATTAAAAATGATAGAGTTAACAAATAATAATTTTTTATTAGATTTAATTTTGTATAATATTATTTATTTTTATTTTCTTTAGATTAAAACTTACTGTTTTAAATGTTGATAATATTTCTAAGAAATTAGGATTCTAATTATCTTTCTTATCTAGATCCTGATTAGAATCCTAAGAAATTATTTATATTTCATGTGTTTTTTCATAAAATTTTAATTTAATGTATCCAATAAGTTTTTTTTCCTTAAATACTATAAATCTATAAAGCTGCACCAATTTATTTTAAAACTTACTTCCTTTTTAAAGATATTTATAATACTAACTATTAATTCTATTTTTTTAAAAGTTAAATAAATTAGTTTCGTTCTGATTGATGATTCATTATCATTGGTTTTTAAGAAAAGTAAGAAGTACTAATTAATGTTGGCGAATATCATACTTGAGATCAAAATTTAGCAATTCTTTAAAATTTTAAATTAAATAAAGAAAAAGCGATTTTTATAAGCATATTGCAAGTTGGATTTGGAATTTGTAAGCAGAAGTGTCATTTACATTGAATATTGTGTCTACTTTGTTAAATTTTTTTTTATTACGTACAAAAATTTAGAACCAAATTTAAATTCTTATATTCAACTAAACATGAATTGCTAAAAAATAGCATCAAATATTATAGTGTTATCTATCCTATGGATCAATAAATTCTGATGTATCTTTTTGCATAGAGAATGGCTTCATAAATTAATACAAAATTATCAATAAAGATCTTAAAGTCAATAAAGTCAAAGAAGATAGGTTAAATTATAATTTTAATGTCATGTGTGTGTATATATATATATATATATATATATATATATAATTTTATTTTAAAATTAATATATCTTTCTTAGATTATTAAGTCTTTAAAAATTAAAAGATATTAGGTAAATAATTAATTAGATTAGTAATAAGAAGCAATATTACAAATCATATCCTAATATGTTCCATCATTAAATAGAAGATTTCCAAAAGTAATTTCTTGTAAATATCTTCAATCAATGTTTTTTTTTTTTTTTTTTTTTTTTGACCTTCATGAATAGGTAAAATATCACCAAGTTTAGATTTTGTTTTTACAAATTATTACTTTATAAGTTCTTAAATTTGTCTATGTTATTATTATCATGTTTGTATTGTTATGTAAAATAAAAAAGAATTGATAGTTTATTGAAAAAATACAATGTTTCATATCTTATAGAGATCTTTCAATATCTTATCAATAACAAATTGACAAAATCTTAGGCTTTTGCTTCAACCAAAGATATTTTAGTTTTTGAGAATTCTTTTTAAGATATTGAAGGTAGAAATAAAACCATCTTTAATCTTCTATCTTTAAATTGATGGAAAAATAGAATAAGTAAATCAAATATTCGAGCAGCATTTGAGATGTGCCATCAACTACTATTAAGATTATTTGATAACTTTTTTGCCATTGGTAGAATTTTCATATAATAATACAATATACTCTTCTATTCAACAATCATCTCTTTATGCTAATTATGGTTATTATTCATAATTTGATATTTTTTATTTTTTAAAAATTAATAGTCTTATAGCAAACAATTTGACAATTTGTTTATTAAAGCTATATCAGATCATAAAAACACAATTAAATAAAGCTCAACAATGACAAAAGATCACCATAAATGTTTATTTCTAGAAACAATCTTAATTCTACATTGACAAGAAAGTATAGCTATTCCATCATAATATTCAAACAATTTATTCTTGTGACATGTTAGATTACCATAAATTAAACTACTTCTTATTTGTAAATAAATATATCCAATCATTTACCAAATATGCATACTTGTGTCTATAAAGATCCATCATGTATTCTACATGTTTCTTTGTAAGCTACACAAGAAAGTGGATATACCCAGAAGAAAAAAAAAAAAATCGCTTCTTCTTATAGAAGTGGATAACAATTGGGAATTTGAAGTAGTAGATGTCTTAGGTTTAAGACAATACTAAAATAAATTAGAATATCTTATACATTAGTACAAATATAATATTAGTGAATGTACATAAGAGCCATCCAATAATCTTTTAAATTCAGCACAAATTGTTGATTCTTTTCATCAATAACATCTATCAAAACCAACACAAAGAGCAAAAATAATTTTGCTATTAAAAAATAAGAATAAAAATAAATCAATAAATATTTTATTTTATCTTCTATTATTATTTGTAATTTTTAAAATGTTTTTTACATTAAAAAAAAGAATGAATAACTAGCAAATTCAACTTAAGATTTATTGTTTATTAGATAATAAAAAAAGGCATTGAGATTGTCAAAGCCTTCAAGACATTGTAATAAAAATGAAGACCTTCAAGAATAATATATTTTTTTTCAAATAGATGGCACGGTATAATGCATTTGATACTACAACCTTAAAAGAATCTTTCAATTTTTGGTGATATTATTGGAAATAATACCTATTCTTAATGGTGTTTCAAATGTTTTATTAAAAATAAGTTATAAAGTCTTAAAAATGATCAATTAATAGAATAGTATTTTTGTTCAAATATAAAATACTATTAATATTTGAAAGGAATTATCAACCATCTTAAAAAGAAATAAATATTAGAATATGTGGCAAATATAATTCCTCACATCTTAGACTTCTTCAATATGCAATCATTGTTCCATAGAGAAATCATTTCTAAAAAAGAGGAAGGAGTAGAAAAAAGGAAGAGAATAATGTTATGGATATATCAATATTGATAATTAAGAAGATAAGAAGAATTAGGTAGAAATGAATAAAAGTAGATAAATTTTATAATAATTTAAATACAAGCTTCAAAGATATAAATTTGATTTTACAAGTATTTGTAGATGATTGATAAGTTAAAAAGTTGATCAACAAGTTGGCCACATATTGCACATATTAACCACTAGTTTTACAAGTTAGCTACATATTGCACATGTTGGCTACTTGTAGTAAAATTTAGCTATTGAGTACAAATATTAGAAACTTGTCTTATAACTTAGTCATATGTCACATTATTTGGACACATATCAGATGACTTATAAATTGTTATCATATAGTTTCATAATTAGATAGTATATATAGAAGCAAGAATAAGATCTTTTTTACTTTGAACAATGCCTTTCTTGTATTCTTGTTTTAGCTTAAGATCTATATTTGTAAATCTATTGGTGATTATAGTAAATACATTTGATTTTAAAAAAACTTGGTTTTTTGTAAATTGGTATTATTTTTAATATATTTATTTTATATTATTTGAATTTTTTATTTTAATAAAAAAATATTAATCTTACATTCTATAGATTGTATTCAACAAATATTTTTATTTTATAAAAATAATAATTTCTAAAAATGGATAATTTATTTATAGTAAAATAATTATTATAAAAGAGATTTTTTAATCTTTTCTTTATACTTAGACCCACAAAAAATTTAAAATCTATCTTATTCAAATTATTTATTTCTTTATTTAAAATTTTATTAATTAAATTTGATATTATTTTATCTAGTTTTTTTAAAAATAAAATATTACTAAAAATAATCTATATTCAGAGTCTAATTTTCTATTTTTATAATAAAATAATTGAAATTTCGATTTTATACATAAATTT